ACCTGGATGGCCGAGTCTGTGGCGTGTGTGGTTCTTGATCTCAGGGTTTTGAGTTGAAGCCCCATGCTGGGTGTAGAGGTTACTTAAAAATAAAATCTCTAGGGGTGCCTAGGTGGCTCAGTTGGTTAAGTGTCTGACTTTGGCTCAGGTCATGATCTCACAGCTCATGGGTTCAAGCCTGAAGCCTATTTAGGATTCTGTGTCTGCCTCTCTCTCTCAAAAATAAATATTAAGCCATCCATTGATGAATGGATAAAGAAATTGTGGTTTATATACACAACGGAATACTATGTGGCAATGAGAAAGAATGAAATATGGCCTTTTGTAGCAACATGGGTGGAACTGGAGAGTGTTACGCTAAGTGAAATAAGTCATACAGAGAAAGACAGATACCAAGTGTTTTCACTCTTAGGTGGATCCTGAGAAACTTAACAGAAGACCATGGGGGAGGGGAACGAAAAAAAAAAGTTAGAGAGGGAGGGAGCCAAACCATAAGAGACTCTTAAAAAAACTGAGAACAAACTGAGGGTTGATGGGGGGTGGGAGGAAGGGGAGGGTGGGTGATGGGTACTGAGGAGGGCACCTGTTGGGATGAGCACTGGGTGTGGTATGGAAACCAATTTGACAATAAATTTCATATTAAAAAATCACAATCAATCAATCAATCAAATAAGTTCAAATTAAAAAAAATAAACATTAAGAAAAAAATGCTTAATAAAAATTAAAAAATAAAACCTCTCAAAAAAAAGAGAGAGAACTAAGTTGAGGGGTGCCTGGCTGGCTCAGTCACAGGAGCATGCAACTCTTGATTTTAGGGTTGTGAGTTTGAACCCCCCATTGAGATTACTTAAATAATAAAAAACTTAAAAAGAAAAAAAAAACAAGTTGAAATCTACAGGCACTATAAAAATTTTAGACTTGAGGGGCGCCTGGGTGGCTCAGTCGGTTGAGCATCCGACTTCTGTTCAGGTCATGATCTCACGGTCTGTGAGTTCGAGCCCCGTGTCGGGCTCTGTGCTGACAGATGAGAGCCTGGAGCCTGCTTCGGATTCTGTGTCTCCCTCTCTCTCTGCCCCCTCCCCTGCTCATGCTCTGTCTCTGTCTGTCTCAAAAATAAATAAAAACATTTAAAAAAATTTTTTTTAATTTTTAGACTTGAAAATTCTATGGTAAGTTTCATCATGCTCCTAGCTACAACTTGACTGATTTAGGCAATTCAAAGCTTATTGAAAAAATGTAGCTATCCAAACAGCAAATATTACTTTGAAAGAGAGGACCACATATATCCGAGTTTAATCAGGACAGTCCTAGATTTCCACTGCTGTCCTAGCATAACTGTTAATAGCACCCCCTTTCACTCTCACAAGTATTCCAATTTGAAAGATAAATCAGTTTAATTTGTGTTAATTTGTATAAGATATTATGACGAATCTTTTATTTATTTATCTGGTGAGTCTTTAAGACGGAGTGAAAGGTAAGTCCTAAACAGACTTACTTAAATTTTTACTAAAATGTAATGGCAATATGGTTGTGTTTAACAACAAAAATCCTTTATAGTTTAGAGATTCTTACTGAAATATTTTCAGATGAAATTATATGCTATTTGGAATCTGCTTCACAACAGTGAGAGGACAGGGAATAAGCAGGGGTACAGATGAAAAAAAAACTGGTAAGGAGTCAATAATAACTAGTGAGGCTGGATGATGTTTACTTGGAAGTTCATAATACTATTCACTCTACTGTTCCAATATGGTTGAAATACTTATCATAAAAAGGTGGAAAAGTTGCCCAAACTAAGAGTATATCTTTTTTTTTTAAGTGTATTTATTTTCAGGGAGAGCAAAAGAGAATTTGTATATGCATGCAGGCATGAGCGGGAGAAGGGCAAAGAGAAAGGGAGAGACAGAATCCATAGTCAGAATAAGGCCCGACTCTGAGCTTGATCCCATGAGCCATGGGATCATGATCTGAGCCTAAATCAAGAGTCAGACACTTAACTGACTGAGCCATCCACGTGCCCTTAAGAGTGGAAGTCTTAGAGAAACTTTCTTTAGAGAAACTTACATGAGGTTC